GCGGCTCCTGATCCCACTCCACCTCCTCCGTCCTTGCGGCGCCCGAGTCCTGCAGCGCAGCCAAAACGCCCCAGAGCTGGAGCAGCTGCAGCAGCACAGGGCCCTGGGCCAGCAGCAGCGGTCCCAAGGCCTCGGAAAGATCCGGAAAGTTCGGAATCCTCAAAGCCCCAAACAACTAAACCCTGGGCCCTGTAAGCTCTGCAAGGCTGTAAGCACCATGGCATCCGGCCGCAGCCGGGCCTCGCGAAGGCTCGGCGGTGCCGTCGATGGCACGTTTTCCGCGGCACGGTTCCTGCGCAAGGACAAGTAGGCAAGTTTTACCCGAAAGCTTAAACCGCAAACTGCAGAGTTCCTTCTCCAGGCGGCCACGGCCCCTGCCACAAGCAGCAGCAAAGCGGCGGCTGCTGCCATAGGCCAGCGCTCAATCCTCGCAGCCTTGCCACACTCCGTGCATTGGCCTGCACTGCTGCGGAAGCCCTCCGCGCAGGTGATGCACAAAGGCCCTGTGCGGCCTCAGATTGGAACGACGATGTCACGGTGCAGAAAAAGTGATTTCGCAACGTTGTCACGTGATCTGCAGGCAAGCAGCCGGGAGTGCATCCCAGCTCTGAGCTGCTCATGTAGCCACCGCAATGTTCCTCCTCCAGACACCTGGCAGGCGATGCGACGCAGGTGAAATCATCCCAGCGATGGGCCAAGCGATGCGATGCAAGTGAAGTCGTTCAAGTTAAATTCCAGTGCAGGTTTTGCATACAAATGCCGGCGCCTCGCGGCATTCAGGGCATTGGGCTCGAGGCGGGCATACCCCTTCTGCGGCCGTGCCGTTTCTGCTCTGCTTCCGTGGTCAGGGCACTCCTGCCCAGAAACCAAAGCTTCCATGCAGAATGACTTCAGCCTCTTCTATGCTGCTGTCCAGCGTGTGCTGCCGCCACCGTGACAAACCACAAATGCTCAATTAATTCCTCAAGACAACATGCCAAAAAATAGTCCAGCAGAGAAAGTCTGGTGGCTAGTAAGAAAATCTCGCCCTCTACAGGCGGTCCAGGTGAAGCTCGCGGCAGTCCGCGCAGGAGCCCCGGAAAAGGGCCGTGTGCGCTTCGCACATGCATCTGGCCCTGCCGTGGCCATCGTCGAAGATCCTGCGAAGCACGTGGGCAGCAGATCTATCTCCTGCTCGGCTATTGTGCTCCCTGTCTCACACTTTTTCTGGTGTTTCTCTTTCGATTTCCTTTCCTTCCGCAGGTTTAAAGGCTTAGGAACTACCTCGACCTAAGAGATCGAACCCAGAATCAAAGACCCAACACCTGACAAGGCACGGAGCATATCCCTCCTCCCGACATCGCACTGGCAACTCTGCATCGTCACGACTCCGTGGCCGTTGTGGCTGCTGCTTTTGGGGCAGGCTGTGCACTCGGACCGGTTGAACTCGGGGTTGTAACGGCCTGGGCCATGGCTTGAGATTTGGAGTGGAGGCTCCTGTAGTGCCCCTAAAGCCCTAAGGTCCCCACCTCAAACCTCATGCACAGTATAAGTCTTTTCAAGGGGCCAGGGCCGCACTTCGCACAGGCGGTTTGATTCCCTTGCCACCCAGGCAGGCAGCCACAAAGCGCGGGAAGGAATAGTGAAGGCGTGATGTCTAGCGGTACATCCTTCAAGCCATAGCAGCTAAAGCCGCGGTCTTCGTCATCAGCCACTCGCTTGGGCGTTGGGCTCACCTTCCCCTGCCTCAGTAGCTCCTGTGCTTCGCTTTTGTTGGCCAGGTTTACATTCGTGAGATCCAACCGCATCTCCAGCGCGTGTGTCAGAACCCCTGGTTGGAAGCTCAAGGGCAGCTCGTTCTCGGCCAGGGAGAGGAAGCCAACAGAGGGCAAGCGCTTGACTTCCTCAATCCGGTTCTTGGACAGGTCCAGCACCTGCAGCACCCCGCCCAGAGGGCTGGGTATGGCCCCCAAACTGCCCGTGAGGTTGCAGCCTGCCGCATCCAATCGGGCAATGCGCCCACAGACCGCCAGATGTCTCAGGAGTTCCTCCACCGGCCTGTCCACAGGGCATCCCGAGACCTGGGCTGTCAAAACCTTTGGCTGGTGACTCCACAGCACATCCGTTCTTGGCAGCAAGCACCCACAAGAGTCCTGCTCTTTTGAAGCCAAGCGGCCCTGAGGTGCGTCAAGGCTGGCAGCAGACGCGCCAGCGGCCTCGAGGGCATTGTAGCAGGCACAATGGCGGCCTTGCTGCCCTCGGCGCTTCATGCAGTCTCCGGGCCCCACCGTAACAAGACGAACACGCTCGGGGCTTTCTGCCTCAGGCCCCGACCCTCAGGTCCAGGATCTGCAGTTCCTGCAGTCTCCCCCACCACCGTCCTATGTGCCCGGAAGCCTCGGTGTCGAACAGGCGGGCATGTCGGAGATTCTTGAACCTGCGCAGCGTGCCGATGTCTCCCGAGACGTTTGTGTCGGCCAGGTGCAGGTAGGACAGAAGTCTCATTGCCTCTCATGGAACCCGCCAACAAAATAGCATGCACCCACGACTCAAAGCCTCCCCACCCCGGCACCTTCAAGTCCTCGAGCTTTCCTGTGATTGCAGTGTGGCGCAGACGCAGCGTCTCCAGCTTCGTCAAATTCTGCAGATTTTGGAGCTTCCCGGTGATTGCACTGCGGTCCAGATTCAGGTATCGCAGGTCAGTCATATTCTGCAGGTTTTCGAGCTTCCCGGTGATTGCAGTGTGGTCCAGGCGCAGATAGGACAGGGAAGTCATATTTCGCAGGTCCTCGAGTCTCCCGGTGATTGCAGTGCGGTGCAGATACAGGTCACGCATATGTGGCAGGTGTCGGATGTCATGCAGGCTCCCAGCGAGCTCCGGGTTGTCGTTTAAGTGTAGAAAACGCAATGCTCGCAGCTTCTCCAGCTCTCTTGGCACCTGACCGCCCAAGCCTTGGCCCTTCAGCGAGATTTTTATGACGCAGTCACGGCTAGCTCCGCAGGTGATCCGAGTCCCATCACAGTACTTTTCCGGTACCTCCGACGCATGGCCGAGCTTCGACAAGACTTCCTGGAGTGTTGCTTTCTCCTGCGCAGGATCGCCTCGACCGCCCGGGCTGCCCACAGGGAAGATAACACAGGTTAAGAGAAATGGTTGGCGGAGTGGCTGCCGGGAATTGTACTGCACTATGGTTAAGACAATTGTTGCGTCCATCGAGATTGCGGGTGACCGATCAATGTAGTGCTCCCATGGGCCTCATGCCTTGAACCACCTTAACTTCTGTCGCAAATGCACGGCCGAGCTGCATCGCATTCCCAAAGCACCGGCGAGCATGCTGGAAGCTGCCTGTCGTAAGATTAAGTTTGCAGGGTGCGGGGTAGGACGGGATCTGGTCGAAAGTCGAAGGAAGTTCTTAAGCAGTGTCAAACACACACCGCCAATGCAGTGATGGCTTTCTGCAGCTACCAGTAGCACGTTCCCAACTAGTCACACAACTTAAGGCGGTGTGCACATGTCTGCAAACATATCCCGGAGGCCCCCAAATCAGCAGCCTTGGTCTTTTTCGGCAGGGTAAGGTCGGCCACCTGCCCCGAAAAACGATTAAAAAATGCTTCTCGAGCCCTGCGTCTCGCTGGAAACGTGGAGTGCTGTAGGCGATCAGAAACATCACGCAACAATACAGCGACTGCGCACCACAGCAGCACGTGATTCGGGGACGTGAGTCTGCAGGCTGAGCAAGGCGGCTAGTCCGGGCATGTCATACAGAGGGTCAGGCATCTACCTCTAGTCTCCATTGTAGTTCCTTTTTTGGGTTACCTTTCAGGTTCCTAAATATATATAATATAAATTTGTTCAACCAAAACAAGGATTTACAATGGAGACTGTAGGTAGCACGGCATGAACAGCACGGCCTGGTCCGGCACCAGCGTCCAGTCGAAGACCTGCCCACCCGAGGCCCCCAGTAAAGCACTCAGCTTCATGCATAAGCTCAGCATGGAAAGAGGGATCCCTGACGTGACGTGTCTACAGCCGCTTCGTGGAAGAAGAGGCCACCAGCCTGAGAGCCTCAGTCCTCATTTCATGCTTACAGCTTCCCTCGGCCTGCGCGTCACGCACAGCGCCCAGCAGAGGCAGACTGCAGAGCCCCAGGAGAACGCGAGCCATCTTCAGCACGGCTGGGTCGCCAACGCGGGGAGCTTGCGAAAATCATGTAACCCTGATGACTTCCTGTACGTCATGGCACATATCCCGGCCCCTGCTGGGACCGAGAAATTCTGGCCTCCAGAATAATACATGTAGCATGGAACAGTGCACTAGTTTTTCTCAGACTGCGAGCGGCTGCAGAAGGCGCAAAGTGCGTCGTAGCTCCCATGTAGCCCAAAACCATAGATCCCAGACTGAACCCCCACCATCTCTAGACCCTAGGAAAATGGGGCCCTAAACCCTTTCTGGGGACAGGCTTCCTGGATTTACGCCTGGATGTGCACATTCCGAGCATGAAGCCCGGAAACCTCAATCATTGTAACCAAAAAGTCTGCGTGCCATATACACCACGCCATAAATAGAAAACTATCAACCAAGACCCAGACCAAATCCTAGCACCAGCGACACCACACTGATATGTACAACGCGTCGTGATAGCAAAGCAACCTCCGAGAACCCTGACCCTGCAGGAAAACATGCACCGATTGGCGACTGCTCACACGGGCACATTGCGTCGCCGCGAAACCATTGCCCACCGTGCATGTATCAGTGCGCATGTTTTCCTCATCATCTCAAAACAGCGATCATCCACCGCCGTCCGCAGCACGCCCGCCCAACTTGGACTTGTATACTTCATGCATCACAAGAACATCACGAGCATCGAATCAACCTGTAGAATCAAGATGTTTCTCATAGATAGGTTCTCGCGTGTCTTGGCTGTTGCTGTCGCTCTATCGTAGTATCTCATTTGATAAGCTACGAATGCCTCCCAGATGTTCAACATTTAGATACCTCGAACGCACCCTCCCTCGTCGGCCTGCAGTTCCTCTCGTTTGGAGGTCGGGGAGCTCGCTGCCTCCTCCGCAGCACACCGCTGTTCTTCGGCCACCGCCCAACAGACCTGGAAGCAACGCCGGAGAGACAATGACCAAAGATCCTTCATTCGTTGCAGGGACCCCGAGAACCCAAAAGCCTAAGCGCTCTCGCCTCCCCAGCACTTCGGACCAGCCGTTGAGAGCGGCAGAGGCCCATGTCGCAGCCGTGACAGTGTCTGCGCTCCTCGAAAATTAAGTGCTCAAGGTTTGGGGCTAAGATAGGGCTCATTGTAATGAGTGTCTTTCGGCAGTGGGTCTTAGTATTCAGGCTTCAAGGGTGTTCATGTTCTGGTGCAAATCTCGAGGTGAACTGTGCGTCGGCTACAAAGAAATGGAGCGACCGGGTCTGCAAGCAACCACGTTGCGTCTAAGAACGGGGTCGTCGCGGCAGACCCCCACAAGCGCAACAAAACTGTCAACCCTCAACCCAAACACATCTTCAAGGTTTCTCCTCCAAAACGTGGCCCCCTCCACCCTAACGTGGAAACCCACATAGCCCCCTTTTTGCGATGGGCCCTCTTCGGGGTTCCACCCTCCTGGCCCAAACTGATGAGAAGAACCAGCTCTTTCGCCTGGAGAGTCGCCAGTACTTGGGACTTCGTGCCACTCGAGGTCGAGTTGTTTTGGGACTCCAGGTCGTATGTGTTGGTTGTCGGGCTGGCCAAGGGGTGGAGACATTCTGGGGTTATGCGCAATGACAAAGACTCTAACCTAGTTCTGCTGCAATCGTTTGGGGCTGGGGCCTGTCCATGAACGTGAACAGACCGGAGCCCTCAGGCCTTGAATACAAACCCCTCCCACTCCTCATGCCGAAGGACTCCCAAAACAACACTACGACCGAAGCAAGAAGCTGCCATGAACAGATGGAGAGATGGCTACCAGGCTCTAAAGGACGCCCCGACGTCTGGGCCTCCTCCCGCTTTCGGCGGACGAGCCACGCTCGGCGTTGGACTCCAGCCTCGCAAAGAGGCTGCGGCGTTCGAGGTTTTAAATGTTTTTCTCCGAGTATCTGAAGGTTTTAGTTTTTCCCTTAAGGTTTAGAGGGTGTTGGAGTTCACTTCAACAAAACAGCAACCCATCATGAACGCACGGGTGCGCCCCGATTGTCGATGGATACTTCGAAAGGTTGACGTGCAAAATCTCCTGCACTCCTAAAGCCGGACCCAAGAAGTGCAATGAGGTTAATTACACCCGTTTTACACGCTCTCGCTTCACGGACTACAGCCCTGGGTTTAGGGGAGCAGCTTCATGTAGCTAGTTGCGGCTTTAGAGACAACAGGAGCCTCATTGGTCCAGAGGTGGTCGGCCCTGCCCTATGCCGCTGGCATGAAGGATGCTGGTGCAAGTGTGACTCAATCTTGATTGGACGTCGAGCTTATTCGGTCCAGTCCAAGAAATTGATGTCAACCATCTGCACAAAGGTGGCTTATGATAAATGGCATATGACCAAACACAAACAGCGCCGGCAACCCATAATCGCCTTAGATTAGGCTGATGGCCGGGAACGTTCAACGCAAGCTGGCTGAAGCCGCTTCTGGGCTTACATTGCATTGGGTTTCGGGATGAAGAGTTGCTAAGATTTCAGGGTTTGGCTTCAGACTTGCAGCTTTGAGCACAGAGGTCGAAGGGGAGCTTTTTGGCTGACGGCTACAGCGGCCCAAGGCTGAAGGCAGAAAGCGCTCAAGGCGAGAAACTCGCGCAGCAGACCCCAACATCTGCCAACCACAGATCCTGAAGACATCTGAGCCCTCAAAGTCGATCAAAAAACCCCGAACAAATCTGCTTGCCGGCTCTGAACCGCAAAACCGCAAGCATAATGCTAGCCTAACCTAAATTCGCTCAAGACACCCGAACAACGCATCTAAACGCAATCCACCTCCAGCTGAATGATCGCATCCACAAGCTCGTCCTCTTCGAGCTCAGCCTGACAATTCAATTAGTAACAGACACAAAAATCAATAAAAATTAGGGCAACCATTTGTATCATGATGTTGGCTCAGGCGCAGGATTTGGACTCTGATGACTCGCACACTATCGGTCGGCCGGGGTTCAGGGTTTAGGGACCCATTCCTGTTGCAGAATCGGCCCACAAGCAGTTCTTCCACAAGAGCTGCGCAAAGAAAGTAGAGCTACAAAGTCACGTTGTCCGTGAAAAACCAGCCAACTAGCTGCTCGAATCGCCGAAACCCGTCTACTGAAAGGATCAAGGCAAAAGGCTTCGGGGGCCCTTTCAGGCGTTTCAGCTACCGAGACGTCTTCGGAACCAATGAAAGTCTTGGACTCGAAACATAGCCGTGCACATGTCTATCATGCACATTTTTGGTACATGTGTAGGTACACATGCACACAGCTGTCCAGGTGTGTCCGTCCGTCCGTCTGTCTGGCTGTCTCTGTCTGGGTCAGTATCTCTTCGTGTGTATGCTGCATGCAGGCACGAAGCTGGCATGCATGCATGCATGCCTGCCTGCATCCCTGCTTTTTGGAAATGTCCACTGTGGGAATCAGACTAGGCTTTGGGATGTGTGTGAGGTATGTGATAGGCATAGTCTATGTCTATGTACTGCGCACAACATGTGCAATGTATGCAACCTGCGTGGCGTATGTAATATGCAGTCAATGTATGTAATGGATGCAGGTACGCCTGCATGCATGTGTCCATTCATGTATGTATGTATGCACGTGTGTATGTATGTCTGTATGTATGTACGTATGTACGTATGTACGTATGTATGTACGTATGTATGTACGTATGTATGTACGTATGTATGTATGTATGTATATACGTAGGTAGGGGGGTATGTGCGCATGTATGAGCGCATGTGTATGTGTATGCATGTGTTTGTACGGGTGTGTCACGATGTGTGCACGCGTGTATGTGGGTGTGCATGTGTGCATGTGTGCATGCATGCTTGCATGCATGCATGTGGATGCATGTACGCTTGCATGGATGGATGGATGGATGGATGGATGGATGGATGGATGGATGGATGTGTGTGTGTGTATGTATGTATGTATGTATGTATGTATGTATGTATGTATGTATGTATGTATGTCTTTGTGTGTGTGCACATACGTGTACATGCGCGGGTATGTGTTGGTATGTGTGTGTAGATACCGGCAAGCGTATGTATAACTATGCAGGATGTGTACAGTAGGTAGACATGTAGATATGCACATATGCATGTATGCATGTATCCATGCATGAAATAAGCCCACGCTTGTGTGTACGCATGTGCCTGCGTGTGCATGTGCGTGTGCCTGTCTGTCTCTGCCTGTCTACCTGTCTGCATGTCTGACTGTCTGCCTGTCTGCCTGCCTGCCTGTCTCCCTGTGTGCGTGTCTGCCTGTCTGCGTGTCTGCCTGTCTGTCTGCCGGTCACTTTTTCTACCTGTTAATCTTCGTTGGACACACATCTCTTTCTCTCGCTCTCATCTGTTTAAATTTGGGCGGAGCATATGCCTGCTTGTCTAGTGTTGCAATGAGCTCACCACGACTTTGTGCTCTGGTTTCCATCGCCTGGCTCGGCTCACCAGCTGTGAGTTCCGTGCTGTCCACCCCGTACTTCAGGCAGACCTGGGAGAAGAGCTCCTCCTGACAGGGGCAGCTTCACGGCCTAGTTTGCCGACTAAAAAAGGCAAGCCACTCTTATCCCAAGTTGGGCGCTTCACCGGACGGATGCAGGTGCGGAGTGCTCAATTTTTCCTCCGCACACGGCTGATGGGGAGCAATGCTCGTCGCGAAACTATTTGGAGGCCAAGCAGGGACTTTTTGCTGCCTGTATGAGTGCTTGAAGTTTCTATGTCCACTGCCTTGTCCTCTGAAGGTCGCGGGCACCTAGTCGTGCCCAGCAGAATCAGAAGCCAACGTTCTGACAAAAGATGAGCTGCTAGGCTGTGCGGTTTTGCGCAGCCCCAGCAGTCTTCGATTTGCAATCTCGACAAATGCACTTGCGGGGCTACCGGCTTTCTCCATGCGATTGGCTTCCTTCTTGCACCGATTAGGGTCAACAGCTTTGTATGAATCATTTTGCTGGTCAAGAAAAGAACAATGTTCAACACGCGCTGCCGGCCCGCATCAGCATCTGCTGCAGGTTTTGTTTACGGAGCTTTCCACATGCAACGATACCACAACATGTCCGAACAGCGTGCTACAGTAGCTAGCAATGTTCAGACATTTGTCGGGGAATCATCAGGATGCGGTGCATGCGAGCAACGCGAACCTTGCCCACCAACATCTTTGCTCGGCACTGTGTATCACACTGATCTGTCCTGTTCCTCTTTCGCAGCAAGCTGCAGCAAGGTTGCCCTGATGTCGTGCAAACTTATTGGGCAGTACAGCCCGTCTGCACAGAATTGAATTATTTGGTTGCAAGTTGGCTGCCCATATTTCAAGCGGGAGCTTGTGGATACCAGCGAACATTCGCGGCTTCAAAACCCAGGCTCACTTGACTCTGTACGTCCTTGACGTCGCCACTGCCGGATACCCCGGAGTGTTTGACCCTTTCGGTCAACGCTCACTCTAAATATGTCAGCAGCGACGAGAATCAGGCGTCTTGCTGGGTCAGCAGAGCACCAGCGGGATGCAAGACACTCTTGTGCTTTTTGGCAGACGACAACTTGCAAAGATCTACTTGCAAATGACCTTTGCGGAACGTGCGTTGGGTTTCAAAAACAGATCCCATCGCAGAGATGATTGAAACAATCACGTGTTGGAACCTGAGCACTCAGGGTGCTCGTGCACTTGCGGCGGGTGGGGAGCTCAGTACGACTCCTCCGAGTAGCGGCCTGCAGCCATGAAATCCTTGAACCAGAGCTCCGCCTCAGCATCCGTCTTGGGCGTGGGCCACATGTCCTTCTGGGGCTTTGAGGAGTTCTGACCGTGCTTCACCAAGGCCGCCTTGAGCGCTTTCTGCACCGACGGCGTGGCGACCGCGGGACCACACATGAAGAAGTAGCCACCCTTCTCCAAAAGGTTGTCACTGATAAGCTCTGGCCGCTCTGCCATCTTATCCGAAACGAAGATCTGCTTCGGTGGGTAGTGGGGCTTGTCGAACTGGAAAGCGCCCACCAACGCCGTCAAGATGCCCTCCTTCTCGTACATCTTCCACTCCTCCTTGTAGAGGAGCTCCTCCTTTTCATGCCGGCAGCCGTAGAAGACCACCATTGGTCCAGTTTTGATTCCACGGCTCTTCTTGTACAGCTTGTCCTGCATGAAGGAGCGAATAGGGGCAATGCCGGTTCCGAGGCCAACCATGACCATTGGAGTGACGTCGTCCTTCGGGAACTGGAACGTACCGCAGACGACCGCACAGGGCACCTTGCTGCCCACAGGCATGTGCTGGATGAACTTCGTGCAGGTACCTGTCTTCACAGCACCGGTCGCCTTGGATTTCCACTGGTTGATGACGATCGTGAACTCGACGGCCTTCGGGCTGTATCGTGCATCCGAGGCAATGGAGTAGATGCGCGGCTTGATCATGGGGAGCACGGAAATCAGCTGCTCCAAAGGCATCTTAGCGCTGGGGTACTTCTTCATGATGTCGAAGAAGGACGGGCACTCGTCGACCAGCGCGGTCCAGGCGATATTGCCAGCCGGCGAACCCAGTTTCCGGAGGGCCTGGGCATCGGCGTTGTTGGCGAAGCGGGCAAGCTCCGTCACAAAGGAACGAGATGGACGACCAAAGAGGTCGATCATGTTCGTCAGCACCTGCCGAATCGTCACGCGCTGATCGAAGCAGCGACGGTGGCGCTCTGACACATCGCCGATGCACTTGACGCTGATGACCTTCTCGCCCTCCAACTCCAGGAACCTCAGTGCTTCATCCACGTCCTGGGGCAAATTCTCTGGGTACAACGCGACGGCGTCGCCGAGGTCAAAAGGAAAGTCAACGCCCTGGAGGCTCAGGGCCAAGTGGCGGATGTCACGCTCGTACTCATTGGGGGTCAGGCGTCGGTTCTCAGTCACCGTCAGCAGCTGCGCGCCAGGAGGGACCATGGGCGCGGTGACGGCTGCAGCATTCTCGTGGTACTTCACCTCGAAGAGAGGAGCTTTTGGCCTGCCGTCATCCACAGGCTCAGGGGCCTTGATAGCAGCCCAGAACTTCGGAAGCCAGGACGTAAAGCCCGTCTCCCACTTGTCCTCGTCCCGGTCATCACCAATGCCCATGTCCAAGATGCGTGTGGCACCCAGCTGCATGAAGCGCTCTTCGATCTTCTTCGCTGCCTCGCAGAAGGAATCAGCATAGGATCGGTCGCCCATGCCAAAGACACAGAAGCGAACGCAGTCGAGCTCCTTGGGTGCCAGAGTCGATGCGGACAGGCTGCTCCAAAACAGCCCGGCGTTCTGCGGGAAGTCGCCATGGCCGCAGGTCGAGCACATCACCACCATGGTCGCTCCAAGCGCAGCGGACTTGAGCTCCTCCATGTCGCTGACCTCATCCAAGTCGCACGTCCGCCGAACCTGGACGCCGCGTTCCGCGCACAGGCCTGCGAACTTCTTGGCCACCTGCTCCGTGACGCCCGTGTCCGAGCCGAAGGCAATGAGAACAGGCTCGGCCACGGAGTTCGCCTGTTTCAAGCCATCCTTCAGGGCCGCCACATCCTGGGAGAGTTCGGAGGCCTTGGCCTTCAGGCTGGCGTGGCGCTGCTTCAGGTAGGTCTGCAGCTCCCCCTGGAGCTTCTCGGCCACGGCGGGCGAGCTCCTCACGAGCTGGGCATAACGGTTCTGGCGGTTCAGGAACTTCATGACGTCTCCAGTGACCTTCTTGGAGTCGAGGACGAAGGGATTGTCGCCGATCTTCGCGAGATGCGGATTGAAGCGGTAGAGGGGCCAGTAGCCACACTCGACAGCATCGCGCTGGTCCAAGGACATTGCGGAGAGACCTGTCTTGAAGAAGCGATGCTCAATGCACGGGGCATAGCACATAAGCAAGGCCGGTCCGTCATACTTCTCGGCTTCGGCAAAGGCCTCGACACACTGCTTGTAATTCGCACCAATGGCCACCGAAGCAACATAGACGTGCTGGTAGGCCATTGCCATGGCTCCGAGATCCTTCTTTCGCTGATCACGGCCGGCCTGAGCGAACTTGGCCACGGCTCCCATGGGCGTGGACTTCGACGACTGGCCACCGGTGTTGGAGTAGACCTCGGTGTCCAGTACCACGATCTTCACATTGTTGCCACTGGCAATGGCATGGTCGATGCCGCCATAGCCGATGTCGTTGGCCCAACCGTCTCCACCGAACATCCACATGGAAGGCTTGGTGAACATGTCCTTCAGGCGGATGAGCTCGGCGATCTCCTTGGCTTTCCCCTGCTCGGCATCAAGAAGAGGCAGGATCTCATCGCTCAACCGCTCGGAGATGATGCCATCCTCTCCAAACTCCAGCCACTGCTCGAGCAGGCTCCTCAGCGCGACGCTCAGGGACTTTCCGGCCCTTGCGAGCGCTGCCTCCACGCGGTCCCGCAGCTGGCGGCGACGCTGGCGGACGTGGATGACCTGTCCCAGGCCGTACTCTGCATTGTCTTCGAACAGCGAGTTTCCCCAGGCGGTGCCCTTGCCCGACTCCTTGTCCGTGGCATAGGGAACCCAGCCGGCAGTTCCTCCCCAAATGCTGCTGCAGCCTGTGGCATTGGCGACAATCAAGCGCTTCCCGAACATCTGCGTCACAAGCTTGGCATAAGGAGTCTCGCCGCATCCTTCGCATGCACCGGAGAACTCCAGCAAAGGCTCCTGGTGAGAACTTCGTTGCGACAGCACTGCTACCGGTACTTGCTAGGTTGCTTTCTTTGTGGGTTGTCTTCCCTGTGTCTGTGCTAAACATGTCGGTACTACTGCAAACACACTCTATTTGGTGTTGAGTGCCACAACAAAGGGCCACATGGCATCAGCTAAGTGACGATTAGACATGGCACTTTCCATGCCTGCCATGATATGCCATGATGCTTTGCCAGTGACCAATAAAGTTTACCGCCGATAGTCTGTGCACTCCGGCTCTCAGACCGGACGAGAACACTCAGAAACAATTTTAAGGCTCCTGGAACTGAGAGCCTTTGAGCGTGTTGGCATCGAAGCGCTTGCCGCGGTTCGGGATGGTCATGGCATAGTCCCAGTTGTCACCGTGGCCCTTGTCGAGCGACTCCACGCGGGGCAGCATGGACAAAGCTCCAACTGGACAGGCGTTGGTGCAGACCTCGCAGCCAGTGCAGTCGTTCGGAGAGGCTTGGATGCGGAAGTGCAGTCCGGCATACGTGTTCCCACCCGTTGCCTTGCGTGCATCAAAGGCTTCCGGTGCCTTCTTGAGCTCGGCATGTGAGAGCAGGAAGGGACGGATCACAGCATGTGGGCAAATGGCACTGCAAACGTTGCACTGGATGCACTTGTCCATGTCCACCACCGGCACGGACTCGGCGACGCCACGCTTGGCGTAGCGTGTCTGCGAGAGCGGCACGCAACCATCGGCTTCGACCTCACTGACCTTCAGCTCGTGGCCTCTCATGGTTTGGACCTTGTCCAAGACCTCTGTGACGTAGGTCGGCGGGGTCTCCACGCGGGTCTTGGCATAGACCACATTCGGATCCGACTCCAAGGCGGCCCAGGCGGAGGCATCATACTCGACGGTGCGCAGAGCCTCGATTGCCGCCTCAACGGCCTTGATGTTCTGGTTGACAATCGCATCGCCCTTGTTCTTGTACGTTTTCTTCACCGCGTCCTTCAGCAGAGACAAGGCCTGCTCCGTGGGGAGCACCCCCGACAATTCGAAGAAGACTGCCGTCATGATGTTGTTGATGAGCTTACCCATTCCCGTTCGCTTTGCCACTGCACTGGCATCGATGGCACTGACCTTCAGCTTCTTCTCACCGATGATCTTGCGGAAGGGCGCAGGGAGAACGGACGCCAACTCCGCATCGGACCACGGGCAGTTCAGGACCAGAGTGCCTCCATCAGCCAGCGGGCCCAGCATCAGATCCGCGAAGAAGCTGAAGATGTACTCCTTCTTGTGGATGGCCAGGTAGTTGCAGCCAGCATCAATGAGGTAGCTGCCCTTGATAGGCTCAGGCCCAAATCGAAGATGCGAGATTGTGACGCCTCCTGACTTCAGCGCATCGTACTTGAAGTAGCCCTGGGCATAGAGGGGCGTGTTCTGCGCAATGATCTTGATGGTGTTCTTGTTGGCGCCCACCGTCCCATCGCTACCGAAGCCCCAGAAGATGCACTGCTTCGTGTGCGAGGGAACCGTCTCCATCCGGTCAAAGGGGAGACTGTAATGCGTCACATCATCCTCCAGGCCCACCGTGAAGGGATGCTTGGGATTTCGGGAGCGGAGGTTCTGGAAGATGGCATCCACCATGCCCGGCGTGAAGTCCTTGCTGGAGAGGCCGTAGCGGCCGTTGATGACGTTGGCCGAGCACTTCGCCCTCTGCAGGGAAGTGCAAACATCCAGGTACAAGGGCTCGCCATGGGCCGCCGGATCCTTCATCTTGTTGCACACGGCCACGGCCCTCAGGGATGACAAGTTTGGAAGGGCCGCCAGGAAGTGCTTCTCGCTCCAGGGCCTGTAGAGATGGACGTTCAGGCAGCCGCAATCCTTGGCCTTGTCACCCATCTTGGCCAAGTACTCCTCCACAACCCCGGCACCGGAGCCCATCAGGATCAGCACATACTTGGCACGAGGGTTCCCCACATACTCAAACAGAGAGTACTTACGTCCACTCAGCTTCTCGATCCAGAGGAAGGCCTCCTCGACCACTTCGGGCACATCCAGGTAGTACTTGTTCGCAGCCTCCACGGCCTGGAAGTAGATATCATCGCACTGCGCCGTGCCGCGCGCGTGGGGGTGGTTGGGGTTCAAGGCTCGGGAACGGTGGGCATCGATCTCCGGGGCCAGGAGCTCAACGACCTTTTGAAAAATCTCCTTGGGGTAGGCCTGGATCTTTTGGATCTCATGCGACGTGCGGAAGCCATCGAAGGCATGCACGAAGGGCACCCGGGAGCGGAGCGTGGCGATGTGCGAGACGAGTGCGAAGTCCAGAGCCTGCTGCACGGTGCTGCCGAACAAAATTGCGAAGCCCGTAGAGCGCACCGCTTGGATGTCGTTCTGGTCGCCGAAGATGCTTAGGGCCTGCCCTGCCACAGCACGGGCCGCCACGTGCATCACGCAGGGAGTCAACTCACCAGCGATCTTGTACATGTTGGGGACCATGAGCAAAAGTCCTTGGGAGGCGGTGAAGGTCGTGGCAAGCCCACCGACCGCCAAGGCACCATGCATTGCGCCTGCAGCGCCTGCTTCCGACTGCAGCTGAGTGATCTTCGTCACCTGCTCAAAGGCATTCTGGACGCCGCCTGCCGACCAGGTGTCACACATCTCTGAGAGGAGCGTGGACGGCGTGATGGGGAAAATGAACGCATTGTCCGACATCTGGTAGGCAACCCAAGCGGTGGCCGTGGCGCCATCATCGGGACCCCACTTGCCCTCGCCACACTCGGCACGAGCAGCCTCCAATGCGGCTGCGATCCGTGGGTCGAGTTGAACTTTCTTCGGCTTCTCCACAGGGGCAGGGCCCTTTGACACGGCATAGGCCAGGGCCGCCCCTGCGGCTGCACTGACAACCCCCACAGTGGCAACCTTCGCAAAGGAATCGGAACTTGCCATCCTTGGGAAACAGGCGGAGGGTTTTGCGAGGATGCGAAAGGATCACGAGATTTCAGCAAAAAGGCTTGCGCCAAATGGCTGAGGAGAAGTTCAAAGCTTGGAACATCAGAAAGACTTGAAGCTCCCCCTCAGCCATCTTCAGCTCAACGTTCGGCAAACGCTATAGTAAGCCTCAGAACATCCCTGATTATACTAACCTTTCTATAATAACAACAGATATATAGCAACATATATATATATGGATAGATAGCAACCCCACATAAACACATTCTCCGCTGGCCCTTAGAATCCCGGTTTTCTGTCAAAGACCTGGCCTCTCGGCCCTCGTACTTGGTGAAGATGAAAGCCAGGTCGCCGAGCCTCGGCTCCGGTGGTCTTTGTAAAAACCCGGGGTTTTAGGGTTTAGGCTTTAGGGTTTAGGGGAAAACTATAGAAACCCGCATCGTCATGCAAAGAGGGGTTTTTGTAAAAGCCCTCTTTGCAGGCCGTTGTGGGCCTTCAGCTCTCGCACCTGGAGTTTTTGACGTTGCGACGAGGCAGGCACGGATCCATGGGGTCGGGATTGCGAGTGCGACGTGGCCGCGACGTGTGAGCAAGGAAGCAAGCGGTTTAGCGTCTGGGTATGTAGCTCAAGAAGGAACTCTAAGGCTAGGTGTTGGAACATGGCATGGAGTTGCACTGGCATGGCCCGGGATGCAGTACAATCCGATGCCCTGAAGGAGCATAAAGAGCACGATCGGATGTAGTGTGGAGGGGAGCTTCCTGCAGCTCAGCAAAGGAATGCATGATATGCCATGTGGTATAGCTACTAAGAGGTTACTGTGTGATTTGCCAGGCTCTGATATGTTATTATAGTAGGTTGAATGTATTGGTAGCCGGACGTTGCTGGTATGGGGCATTGCAGTTGTTAAGGATCTGCCATGCATGAAGCCATGCCCATGCCATTATAATGCGAGTTCTTTCTCAGCATGTGCAATCGGATCTCTTTCCGCAGCATTTCTGGAAAGCTGGATGATGTCGACAAGTGAGTGCAGTGTGGGATGACGGGGCCTAAATAAACAGAAGATACAACAGCATGATCCCCCTCGAGCCTTAATCAAACCCCGAACCTTCTGCAAGAGAGTGGCATGCCAGGGTTCTTCTCCTGGTACACCTTCCTCGGAGTCCGGGTGCAAGTCTGGCCAACTGACACTCATTTGCTGTTCCACAGGCAGTACACAGTCAACGATATGCATGGTAACCTTGTCAATGCTAGTGTTGACCACAATAACACGCCTGAGAATTGAAATCAGTAAAGGCACTCCGACGTCACACACGGCAAGAGGTGAATCAAGCACCACAAGTTCAGGCTGCAGCTCTTGGGATTCAGAGTGGGGCTTTAGATGGAAGCTTGGACAGGGCCAGAGGCAAGGCTTTGGGGCTTCGGGCTTGCGGAGGGCAGACTCCATCAGGAAAGGCCCGGAAAGTCCCAGAAATGCCCAGAAATCCCCAGAAACTGCTTGGAACTTCATTTGCCTCATCACGATCAGATTGCCTCTGAACGGCGGGATGTTTGAAGCCTGTCGAACTCCCTCGCCCTTGGCTCTGAACCGTCCGTGAAGTTGGTGCCGGGGCTCGTCACCAGGTGCCGATATTGCTGCGGAGAGTATGTTCCCGCAGGCTTCCGAAACCTCAAGACCGCATAGGTCGACCGGGCTGTATCGATTCCTCTTCTTCTTTCTTTCGTTGAGCTTGGGGGTCGACACCCGTCCCAGTGCACACCCACGGCTCGCTCTTTGTCTTTCCACAGACCTAGAGGAAGGGAGTAGAACTTCCATGTGAAACCCCGCCCGAAGGCTGGCAAAAGCACACACACCGACCCCAGCATGCTCTCTCTCTCTCTGGCTCTTGCTCTTTCTCGCATCCTTTGTTGCCTTCCAGAGGCCCCAGAGGGGGCCCCCGGCCACAGGGTCCTCCGTCTGTCTGCCGGTTTACATAGGCGAGGGACTTCAAGGTTCACACATGACGAGGGCCCCAAACTCACCGCAATGTCTCTCGGATCTTCGACGCACTCTCAAGGTTGATCCGCGAGGCGTGGGCGGCGCACTCTCGTTCTCTGGTGGGGCCATGGCCGCATTGTCAGCTCTTTGGCTCCTTTGGAGCTTGGGGCTTGGGCTGAAGGCTCCACGCTGGTTCGGCAAACGGCCTGGGGCTAGCCTGTCTCTCCTTCGGAGCAAGTTGCGTGGGCCACATGCGCTTTGGGCCAGAATTTGCTGCAGGCAAACATCGCATTCCAGCTGCATCCAGGACCTGACAGCGCCGCTATGGCTGCACAGAGTGGACTGCAGAACTAGTCACCTCCATCCGTGCAACAGAAAAGCGAGCACATATCGAGGGAGGGCGCACCAAGCAGGTCGTTCTCCTACAAGATACACAGTCCAAAACATACCAAAGCTTCGAACTCAGGAGGGCACTCTCCAAGTCCTGGAACACGACCCTGCACCCCTTGACCCGATGGTCCTGCAGCATCTGCCGGAAGAGCTCGTTGCCCCCTAACCTGCAGCTCCGCATCGCAGCAGTAAAGCCCACAAACTTGCCCATGTCAGGTTTAGAGTCGGTAGTTTAGAGTTTATAGGGCCCAGGGCCTAAAAAAACACCAGTCTGGGAATGAATGGAGGTCAGAACGGCTCTGAGAGAGCAGAGGTCATGCAGGTGAGCATCCGAGCTGAATCTGCATCTCTCTGCTCCCCGACACGACGAGATTGCACCAACAGAAAGCCTCCGCCGGATGTCGGGTGGGCTTCCGACCACCATTGTGACACCCAAACCTCCACCATCCAATTTCAAGGCCAAAAAACCAAGATTCCCGAGTACCTCACACTCGATTCTGAATCCCTCTTGGGACCGCGCTCCATTGCTCGAAGCTGGTCCGGTTTCCATGCATCCATGGTCCTGGGAGGATGGTTTGTTGCCTTCCGGATTGCTTGGGTTCTGCGCTTTTGGGGTGACCTTTAGGCTTGGGTTCGGCTCTCAACACCAAGGTTCAGCACCCCTCGAAGGAATCTGTGGTTCTCTTGAGGCTTGGCCGACTTCCGAATCCCAAGAATACTCCTTTAGACAAAGTCAGGGCCCAAAACCCCACTCTTTAAATTTGCGATCTCTGCGGTATTCTGGACAAAGACGTGCGGTGTGGGATGTCAGTGTTTTCGGGTTCCCGGGCAAAGAACGCACGAAGCTGACGTGGACCCCGAGGCCCCGATGCCTGCGCAGTGGATTCAGCGACTCAGACAGAAAGCACAGATGTTCTAGGAATGCTGGACACACTTCCAGACGCTGCAGTGGCAGCACGGCAACCGAAACAAGTTCATGACCTCGGCCGGCACATGTGTTGATAGCCTTCTATGTCTGTGTCGGAACCTCAGAGTCTCCCAGACAGGCCTTCTCGTGGCTCTGAAGTGATCTGCGTGAGCGTGTGCCAACATCTGGAAGACTGAAAGATAGTGTCAGTGTGGCGGCCGCAACCCGTTGTGAGGCAAAAGCGGCTGCGGACTCCTGGACTCAGACGTGCAGAAACACGTGCCCAGCTTCAACCTCCGAAACTTGCAGGAACGGGAAGGCCTGCCCGAACAGGAGAGGCCTGGGAACAATGCTGCCCGCTTGAAGACATACCAATCCAGCCAATTCCGTGACGATTTTGAGGGGCTTTAGGCGCACCAGCCAAGTCTTAGCTTATGAACAGACGCAACGCGCAACAGAAAAAGCCTGAAAGTAGCAGACCTGTGTCTGGCAAAGGACATGTGCATGGGGATTGTGAAGCCAAGAACTAAGTACTCTGCGTACTATTCTTGCTGCGACCCATCAGCATCCTTTGTTTTGAAGTCTCGGGCATCCCAGTTCTTGGCCCCGCACCCTCACACAGCCCACACCGCAGCATAACAGTATCGAAGTTACCCTGAGCTCAAAAAAAAAACGAAACCCCGAAACCGCGGCCGTGGCCCTCTGAACCCTCAACCGCATCAAACCCAACAAGCACATAGCTGCTCGGGCCCGGTGCAGAGGAAAATTCCGTTGGACACCTGGGCGTCCACGACGAATGGTTCGGGCGCGCGGGATCGTGACTTTACGCAGGTTTTAGTAAGGGGTTTCTGTAAATGGTTGTATGAGGCTGTTACAGGGACTCTGAAAGGACTTTTTGTGGGATATCCCTTCTGCAGGTTACGAGAGCGATGGCACGGGGACTGGCTGAGGACTTGAGGATACAGCTCCGCGGCAAACCGAAGAATGCAGCTGTTGGGACTCACCGAAGCCTGAAGTTGTGAAGTCGCTCATGTGACAGTAGCGGTAGCACCAAACCCCCTTGGGAGCTCTATGTCTTACGACACCCTAAACACTGAACCACAAAAGCCGACTCACAGACCGGAACCTTAAACTTACACTCACAACACCAAGCCCTTTTTTGAACCCAAAATCTGCCAACCAGCTGCCCCAAAGCCTTTTTTGCAAACCCGAGCACTAAACTCCTAGGCTTCAGGATAAGAATGCAGGGGCCCAAGTTGAACTACTGCGCGGGGAGTGTTGCAAACTATCCGTGACCATCCTCACGTAGGATGATACAAGACATGAGACGAGCTACTACTGAAGCATAAAGAAGCAAAGTCGTGCATGTGTTTGTTTGCTTATCACATCTGTCTGCATACCTTTTTTTGTATGTACCTGCCTATCTGCCTAATCTGCCTACCTCTCTTTGTATCTCTACCTCTATCCATCTTCTATCCATAACGGCAATGGCCGGCGGAGAGGTGCTTCGACGTGTTGAGCCCTCAGCACAGAACGGTACTATGCCCAAACCCTCGCCAATCCTAAACACGTAAAGCACTCAAGGTCTTTGGGGCCGCCACAGATGCCCATTCGGGACGGTCCGCATTGCAGTCTATGCCTCACATGATCGAAGAAAGTGCATCATCTGCGGACCAGCATACGCAGACTTCGGCACTGGGCCACACATGGATTGAGTCCTAATCCATGTCCTTCGTCTGCTCCACCCCTCCACCCTTCCGTCTGCTCCGCCCCAAGCTTCGAGGGAATGCTCTCCGGTACAACGTGCTTCCGCGGGAGAAGCCCCGAGGCTCGCACACTTGGCGTCCGCCGGGCGCTGACGCCGGACAGCCTGCACAGATCAAACGCCGAAAGCAGGGATCCCGACAGAGGCGATTAGCGCATGCCCAAACTAAATACCAACTGGGATGAACTCGCAGACAGCTTCTCGCGATTCCTGGACGTAGGCGCAGATGCAGATCCAGACTGTGATGTCTCAGCTATGCAATCTTCGTGGTTTGAACCCCCCCGTCGAGCCTCAAAGAATTGGCTGTTATTCATGGCTAACACAGTTTCAAGGAGCTAGACTGAAATCACATGTATTGCAGACTTGGCTCTATGTGTTCAAAACTTAAGCTAGATACGCCACATTTGGGCAGACTGCGATTGACTGCTCACCGCTTGCTCCGCACGGCGCTTCACTCTTAACTGCCCTAGCTTGAGGCGTTGTAGGGTCGCTGCGTCCCAGCCTGACGTGAGCTTGCCTCGCACCCCTGTGCCCCTTGAGCAGCCGACACACCCCGTCCGACCTTCGCAGCTGCAAGTTAACGTGTGTCAGATTGAAACTTGGCCGCCGATCCTTGCATCTGTGCTGGACTTGCCATACTTTTCATTGCAAGCCGCTCACTGGCATCCATCAGCTCGCTCCTGTCACTCCCGTACGAGCTTTCCCGCACGTCCTGCTGGACCCTGGGGCCTAGGGCACTTTGGACGCGAGAACGAGCTTTTGCATGAAAGGAGTGTGAAGTACGTACTCGTAGAAAATCAGGAGTCCTCTAGGTTGAGATGCCAGTGTGATTAGCTTTCTCGCGGTTTTTTGGTTTCGAACAGGGCTTGAGACTCCCAGCGTCTGCTGTTCTGAAATCCGGGGGCATCCGCAGCCCGAAGGCTAATTGCACCTGGTGTGCGAGCGACCGCAGAAAGAAAGCATGGTCAGGGCAATCCTCCTTGACAAGGTCAAAAGGGGTGGCAGGCAACATGCATGGCCACGATGGCCTCTTGCGCATGTAAATTTCGTCGAGGCACTTGTCCCGGCCATGCTAGGCTACTCCCGAACCCTCTCGCGCACAGGAGTCACATGGAGGTTACAAGGACGACGTCGTTCAACCATGCATGCAAGGCTATGCATGATACAAAAGCTACCATCATGTTACAGCAAGCATGCAAGTGCATTGACGAATCATGTAAGTCGTCGTACATAAGCTGGGTGGCATATACCGGTGGGGGAAAGCATTCCAAACATGCGTGTGACATGCCGAACATGCGAAGGACGTTGGACCTGGCCAAATTTCATCTAACACATGATATGCAAGAACAAAAACGCGAGAAGCATGCAGCCGCAGGACAATACAGGACCAAGCTACACAAGCTACAAACGAATACTTTTCACAGCTGTTCTTGCGCGTACATGTGGAGAAGGTGCTTCTCCTATGCTGGAGCATGAGAGGGTGCGGAGTCCGTAATGCTATGCTGGTCGCAGCTCCCCCGGGCCAGGTACAGCATCGGGAGTGGCACGTGCGCTTGAGTATCTGGGAATTTCACCCACCGCCTTGGACTATTGAACAAAGCGATTAAAGCTTCAGGCCCTAAGCTCATACGCCCTCCCCCCACCCCAAACATCGGCTATCGCTGTGGTGCATGCCAGAGTCGAGCCGCCGTGTGCCCATGAGGAGTCTGCAGGTCTCGTTTTTGCACTGCAAAACTTCTCTTCCCCGCCGAAGGAAGCACCGCCAGCAACTCTGACATGTCCAAATACGACAATTGCGACCATGATGATGGAAGCTGTTATGACTATCCTGGACATCACTATTTACGGGCTTTGAAAGGATGCTTTCTGCTCGCTAGCCCAGTGAGGGCCTGGGTACCACTGGACTTTAGAGGAGGAGTCTAACATGCAAAAGTACCCCATCCTTCCGTGCATAAAGACGTGTATCAAATGGGAAAACACTGGGGTGATTCCGAAAATAGGGGACCCTAATGTAGCACCCTAAATAGTAGGATCCTTATTATAAGGACACAAGATCACCCAGAGCAGCCCTTCTTCGACTTGCGGATTTCGGTATGGCCACACTCAGGGCTCTGCGCCAGAAATCTGCTTCCGCTGGCACCTTCGTATCTCAACCAGTGCTTGCGTCACGGGCTTAGCTCTTCTACACTGACATACCAAAATGGCCATGCACACCAACACGTCGCAAACGAGCGTGCGCACTTTTAGTTTGCCACGATATGTCACAAGCAGTGAAGCTTAGCTGTGATTCAAGATCGGGTTCACAGCAAAGGTTTCAAAGAAAACAGCATGACAGGCTTTGCTCGGGCTACTGGCCTATCAGGCTCATGGCCTGTAGGATCATGGAAAAGCACAGGATACAACACGTGACCTCAAAACAACTGTTTATTTGCAAAGCCTTGAGGGAACAGTTGGCGTGTGAAGTCTTGGACAAATGAAGCCTTCAAGCCACTCAAAATAAAATACTGCCCGATTTAGGCTGGCTCAAGGAAAGGACTGTACAAATTGACGATCCCTGTCGTTCCTTGTGGCAGCTGTGCCAGCTTTCTCTGAAGCATACAGCCGCTTCACCAACTTGGCGCAAAGACTTGACTTGAGCACCTTCTCTTCTCGCGCCGCTGCTCAACTGCCTTAGTCTTTTGCGCCTTGAAACAAAGCCCCTGAGAATTGAAACAAAGCCCTGACAATGCAAAGGCTCACTTCTCAGAGGACATCAGTCCAAGCCAACTTCCTCCCGATACCTCTGAAGGTTGATCTCGCGCTTGAGACTCTCGCTCGTGTCCGGCTCAACATCGCGGCCAACCAAGTGGCGGCGCTCTAGCAGCAGGGCGTTGCGCTCGTGCTCAATCTCCAGTAGGCGTTGGTCCAGTTGAGACAGGCGGTCCTTAACGACGGTGTCCTCCATAGGTGTCATGGGCCGTTTGGAAGGCTTTCGATACTTCGGTGAGGCCACCATGTCCTCGCCCATCTTAGCATCTCGTTCGCGCTTAGCTTGAACCTCACGCCACATGCGCTTGATGAACATGGGGTAGTCTGTCAGGGACAAGTAGTCATTGAGGGCATCAGACTGCATCGCCGCCTCGATGAACTCTCGCTCGAAGGTTTTGGCTTGCACAGCACCCCATAGCATCAACGCATTCTGCATGGTCAACTCGGACTCTGCCTCGAACCTCTTGTAGATCTCATACCATTCAGCCTTCTGCTCCGCAGCTCCGGCTTCACCACTGGCCAGGTCTTCAAAGAAGCGGCGATGCTCTGCAAAGAAGCGCTCGGCGAAAGAGTTGCACTCGGAGGAGACGAGTTGGATGACATCACGATGTCGGGTAGTCATGTCTTGCGAGGCGGCAGGTCTATGGGCTTACAAGCTCTTCAGGATCGAGACTCAAACTGCTGGGAGAACGAAAGCAATGATGACTGGGTAACAGTGACATTTGCTGGTTCGCAGGCACTCCTTCACGACAGAAACACTCCCCGCCTGCCTGGCTCAGCCGATGAGCTCGACCTGCGGTTGCACCGGCAGAACCTGCGGTGGCCTCGGCCCAGGAAACGGTTCCACGCATTCGAAGTAAGGTTGCTGCCGATACGAGAGGTGATATACTGATAACAGAAGTAAGGAGGCGGTAGTTGTTGCAGACTTGCTGGTTTCTTCATTCGTACTTTCTAGCAGCAGCAGCAGCAGCAGCAGCAGCAGCAGCAGCAGCAGCTTGTCATGGTACTGTCGCAAGCACAACGATGCAGTAAACGTCACCTCTGCAATGCCGAAAGAAAGTGAACGAATGACATTGACGGCGACTACATCATGCCATCATCATCATCATCATCAGCATCAGCATCAGCATCAGCATCAGCAACAACAACAACTACTACTACTACTACTACTACTAGTGCCATAAGACTGCATCCCACCTACTGGTAATACGTTACCACATTCCAGGGAGAGGCCCAAAACTTCGAGGCACGGGCAACTTCTCACCCCGAAGCAGCCGCACCGCGGCCTTTGCTTGGTCCATAGTTAACCTCAGGCTCGGAGTGCGCTTTGCGGGCATCAGATTTCCGTGGAGTTGCTTTGCTACCTACTCCCATGCAGCTTTGTTTCAAGAACCACTCAAGTGGCCCAAACCAAAAAACACTCCGCCGGCACGCGGTGCTTAGAGTGCGACCCGATCTTCCGATGTGTCTGCACCTGTCTGCAAAAGGAATCGCCTAGCGATCTGGCTGGCTGTAAGTGGAAGGCCTAGAGACCCTTGTCTCAAACCCCTGCACAACATCGACACATCCGACCCGACGCCTTCTATACTCTAATTATAGACCCAAAGCTCGTGAGGTTAAAAGCTTCTGGCTGCGGCACAATGCGGGGAGCCATGAGAAGGGTTCCGGGCTTCCTGTCCTGGCATTCAAGCATCATGCGGGGTGCATGCTTGGAAAGTGGGTTCATGGGAGTTCGCCTTGCCAAACTGAGGGTTGGGAGATCAGATGGATAAGCCACAGATATGCAGAAGATGAAAACCTAACACGTTTCCTTCCACATTTCACCTACTGCGGCCTGCACAAAGGGGTCTTCTAGCAGCAATAGCCCTCGTAGTGGCACAGGCGGTAAGGGAATGAGGAGAAAGCAGCAGTAGCATTCGCAGTGGCAACAGCAGCCGCAAGAATCGCGATGACTACAGTGGAGCAAGAGCAGCCGCGGCTGCAGAAAGTAGTAGCCCTCTCCAGATCTGCATCGGCCATGTTGATGTCGTCGATGACGACCTCCAGCCATCTTCGTCAAGCAGCAGGGAAAAATCTGGACTCTGTCTTCTGGCTGAAAATGATACTATTGTTCATGGATTCAAGGAGAAGGGTGGACGTGTTCCCGGGCACGCACGAGCTTGTCGGACATGTCACTGCGTTGGGGTGCACCGGCTCAGCAGATGCATCGAAATTTCGCGAAATTGGCAACCTCTCCCGCGCATACCTTCACCGTATAAAGCCACCCCGGCGCGTTTAAGTTTAAGCGCAGGGCGTGAACTCACCGCTAGAACGGGACTTGAAAATGTGAAGGTAAGGTCAGAGATGCAGATTTCCCATGAAGACTCGAACGACAGAGTCAAAGACACGCCCAAGACAACAAAGCTGATTCAGGACACAGCAATCGAGACCTCAGCCGTGAATCCCTCTGGTCCAAAATTTGAGCGCAGCACCCACTGCTTGACTTGGGGGTTGTTACCTCGGCCGGCTTGCTAAGACGGCCAGCGCAAGCACTTTCAAACATGGCTCTCAGGGGCCCGAGTGCCCTTTATTATCAGTACAGTAGTGGTGTAGGCAAGGGTATATGATTCATACGTACTTGGGCCTTCACGGAATTGGTTGCGTGTGCCCATCACACTCCGACCACTTCTGATCTCAGAGACATGAGACCGGTTCCTCAACTCGCATTATCCAGCAACTTGTACCGGTGGTCTCCTGCTGAAAACCTCTGCAACATCTTAGCGCAGGAGCCCGAAATTGTTCGGGGCTCAGGATTGAGGGTGATAAGTTGATTATAAGGCTTGGGATTTAGGTTTGAGGGTTCAGGATTTCGACTGTCACAACTTGGGCCATCCGGGCGAGGTGTCTGAGGAGGATTTACGGCTTATCACCAGCGAGGCCACCATTCCTGCCACTACTGCTGCTGCTGCTTATAACAATCATTCTTGCATGGCTGGTATTGTTGATGGAAATATTGGTTGAACTTTTAGCAGTGGCATTCACCACGGTATCACCATCACCACTCAAATGATGATGGGTGCCTTTCATTCCAAAGCCATTCGACCTCGCGATCAAGAACCCGAAATATGTTTACTTTGACCGTCAAGGCCCCGGCTCAACCACTGGCTGATCTCCCGAGCACGGCGTTCGGTGAACGCCTCGCAAGCCGAAGCCCTTCTCAAACCCTACAGAATGAATGAACCCTCCTTGCATGGGCATGTTGAGACTGAAAGCCTAACTTTCCATAAGGTGCTCTCTTCATCCTCAAACTGAACAAACATCACTCGGGCTGTAACGGGCGCAGTCCTCAATCACAGCAAGCTGTAACGGGCAATGGCCCCCAACCCTCCCAGCAAAAGCCGCAGAGCTTCTTCATAGCACCCTCGTGCTCCGTCTGCTTGCACTCAACTATGTCATCAGGGAGTATGGCCCTTCGGGCTCCTCCCACTTCTGGAGGCGCAAAGCCCATGCCAGGCAAAGGGCCCCCAAGAGCGCCGAGAGCCCAGCCCAAAAAGCCGGGCCCACTTGCGTGCGTGGACCCGGAGACTGCGTTCTAAGGCCCAGATCTTTGGAGCCCGACGGCAGCGCTGTGGGGGGCGCAGCTGCCCAGTCAGAGTGCAAGGACACAAACCGTTGGAGCATCCGCAGGGCTACCTGGCAGGGCAGCAGCAGGATTGAGAATGCCGAAACCACTGTCGTCAGGCTACAAACCCAGGACCCGCCCGACCTCCGGCTGATCCTTGGGAACCAGGTGACCCGACTCGAACACCTGAAGGAACCTTGTCTCGGGCCACTTCGGGAAACCCCCTCCAATCGAAAATCAGCCAGAGGGTTTTCGCGAATAAGGGTAACGTATGCGAGTTGGCCTGCTCCTGATGCGGTGATACCTGCACGTCTGCTGACCCGAAGCCGCGACATACAGGCAAGCCTCCCCTCAACGATGCTGATGCGAATGATGCCGGCTCTTCCTGATGCTGATGCTGCCCTTCGCCCCCAAGCTACGAGAGCTGATGCCGATGATGCTGCTGCTGCTGCCTCTTCGCAATGAAATTCTCCAACCGCTGACGGCCCCACAATCCAAACACCTCCCTTTCCCCCGCAAGCCCCAAAAAGCTCCGAGCGCTGATGCTGATGATATTGCCTCTTTGGCTGCATACTTTGAACACTCCGACTGGACTGCCGACTAGCTCTTTCCCCGAGCACTTTCAAAGATGCGACTGCTGATTTTGCTGATGCTGCTGCTTCGCCCTCAAACTGTAGAAGCCAAGATGCTGGTCTTTCGCGCACAGACTTTGATACTATAAAAGCTCAGACCACTGATGCTGATGATGCTGCCCCTTCGTCTGCAAACATGTGAAGCTCCAACCACGGATACTGACGATAAGCTTGGTGAGTCTGCTGCTTCGGCCGCGAACTTGAAAACCGCCGACCTATGATGCCGACGATGCGCCTGCGCAGGCATTGACAGCTACGACCAACGATGCTGATGATGCTGGTTCTTCGTTGGCAAAGTGTGAACAAGCTCCGACAGCTGATGCTGATGATGCTGGCTCGTGGCCCGCATACATCGAAGAATCGCCGACCGATGATACTGTCTTGTCGCCCGCAAACGACCGCTGATGTGGACGATGCTGCTGGCTCTTTGACTGCCCTTGCTAAAGATTGGCTTCACCGGTACGATACCGAGCCGACCACAGCTTGGAACCGAGCCAAACACTAAACTGCAAAAAAAATGCACTTTTATCCTTGTTCAGTCAGCACCCTGAACGACTCACCCTCAAACGCCGCCCCCCAAAAGCGCAGAGTCATCCGGGCAGCGTAAAGCTGCCGTAGGACTTCTCCCGCCCTGCCGACTTGTTATGTACATGGAAGGTCCGCAGCGGGGCGGCGATCCAGTCCGCCTGCCCACCTCGAAAACAGATCATCATCTGATCCACTTAGACTGGCTTTGGATATATCACAAAGAGCGACAAACTGGGGTGTGGGTTCTCTGTACGTGGAAGTGGAGACGAAGCGGGGCATCCGGAAGACTAGGTTCCAAGCCCCTTTACTTCAACGGCTCTATTCACGGGCCTTGGAACAAGACCCAGACCCGGGCCGTTGCAAGCCTCGAAGCAGTAGTATGAGGAGTCGCAGCAGCAGCAGCAGCAGCAGCAGCAGCAATCAAGCGGCACAGTTGCAGTGTTGATGGGGACCTGAAGCCAACCGCCTTTGTGATGGAAAGAAGGCTGTAGCTAGTACGTAAGACCAACTGGGCACCCCACGCCAGGCCAGCTTCTCCATCCAGCCTTTCGTTCCCAGCCAGTCCACCATAAGATCTGTGTCCTGCGTTGGCGTTTTGGGTTTCGGTCTTACCCCACCCTGCCTTTCGAAGCACAGCTGCACGGAAGCTTTGGCATCGGGGCGCTGCATCGATCGGAGACCCCGACAAAGAGGACCATTCGGAACAACATGCCAAGGAATCCCAAAGCCTCAACAACTCCGACAAGAGGAAGGGGAACACCCCAATCAAGAGACAAAAGCAAAAGCTCGAGGAAGGTATGGTGTGAAGAGCAAAACCAGGCTCAATCCTCTGGGTCGTTAAATCCGACGGTGCCTGACCCTTTCCCAGCCCTCACAGGTCTTGATTCCACAAGCAAATCCGGCAAAAATGCACGGAAGGCCGGGTCCCCGGAGTAGGCCAGCACCGGAACACCGCGCTCCAGAAGCTCCGCCACCAGCCCATCAGTGGAACTCATATAGTCACCGCTGCGCACGAACCTCTGTGTCTACGGCTAGGGGTTTAGCTCCAGGCTTCCGCGAAAGATTCGTGAAAACTCGCAATGCAACGGACAGGCACGTCGAGAGTCACAGCCAGAAGCTGCATTGAAAGAGCGCCTTAAACTGTTGGTCATACAAGGTGCGCAGAATCCACCTGCAGGTTGCAGGGTCGCCAAGCCAGGCCGACCGGAACCCCCAAAGCCTTCTGCACCTGATGGCACACGCTTGGGGTTGAGATCCAGCTGCCCTGGAACAACCCCACGACTCTTCCGACGGACCGACACGTGAAAGCAGTGAGAGTGAGATGGGCCTGTGCATCGTTGAGGAAGGCTTGCGGAGCTGAGAAGTCGAAGCAGTCCACCACGTTCTGTTCGTGGCACACCTGTCTCAGGGCTTGCAGATTGGTACCTGTTTTGGGAAACAGATTGACTCCGCCTGAACATCAGCTTAGACAGGTTCCGAATGTGTCGGCACTGCCGAACCACCAAGCCTGCCGCACATCGTAGACGTTGCGTCCACACTGCATTTCGGGAAGCAACTCCTGAAAGGAGTGTGGCAGATTTGGCATGATTGACGAGATGAAACTCGTGCAAACCATTTCAATAAGGATACCAATAAGATTTATCAGGAGCGCTGCCAGCATTCCAATTTGTAGCATCCTTACCCTGCCCATGGGTCATTGGAGCCTCCTTGACGGTTTAATGTCTGACATCTAGTGTAGCACAACAAGAAACCGGTCGATACGGCAAAGCTGACAAACTGCAGATGAGCCAAGTGGCCGTGGTCAGGCACACGTGGAAGGCCCTGACACACCTGAGTCAGTTCAAACGAGAACACGTTAGGGCCTGCGCCATTCACTCGATATTGGGCCGAGCTTGTTCCTGGTGGTGTCTTTGACGAAGTGCGGATGTTGGGCATCTGGGGAAGCCCAAAGCTTGAAGGTTTGCAACAACACAGCCTTGCCAAAAGCTGAGGTCTACGGATTGGGTTTACTCTTCGGGAATTAGGGTTTCGGGATCAAGTTTGTTGCGAGAGAGTATGCAGGCAGAGCAGGGGGAGCAAGGTCTTAGGAAGTCTCACACGAATGGTCGCTCCGATGGCACCAAGATCCTGAGTATCCCGAAGCCTTGCACCACACAAACCGCAAACCCGACAACATCCCGAACCACAGTCGCACGCATGCTTTCCCAAACCTGAAAGATTGAAACCCTACCTTGGTAGAATTCGACACTGTCATAGAAAGTCACAACCCCCCCCCCNNCCCCCCCCCCCCCCCCCCCATATCCTGCCAAGCCATACAAAGAACTCGAGAACAGTCCTGCTCAAAATCCTGCACAAGCTCGCTTTTCAGGCCAGCGATGGGGAACCCTTTACAGCCCAGCCTTTTCAAAAGGATCCAATTCAGCGCATCCCGGCAACAGACCGATTGCAGGCCAGGGGGCGAGGGCGAGATTTGGGTGCCAGGAGCACGCCGGCAGCGGAGGA